ACTCGTTCAGACGTTTCATTCTGTAAAACAAACTCAGATCAAAAACACAATACAATAATAAGGCCATTCCAAAGTGCAACTTGTTGGCTTTCAAAGAAATGAAGAGAAAACATTGTGGAAGTCAGTGGATGTTACTTTTATTGACCAAGTACAGAGAAAAAAAATGGAATCACTCAATTCTGAGGAAAAAAGTATGGAATCATGAAAAACAGATAAACAAAAGACCATTCAAAATACATCACTAGTATTTAGTTGCACCACCTTTGGCTTTTACAACAGCTTGCAGTCTCTGAGGCATGGACTTGATGAGTGACAAACAGTATTCTTCATCAATTTGGTGCCAACTCTCTTTGATAACAGTTGTCAGATCAGCTTTGTAGGTCGGAGACTTCTTGTGGACCATTTTTTTCAATTTCCACCACAGGTTTTCAATTGGGTTGAGATCTGGACTATTTGCAGGCCATGACATCGACTGAATGTGTCTTTCTCCAAGGAATGCCTTCACTGTTTTTGCCCTAAGGCACGATGCATTGTCATCTTGGAAAAATATTTTATCACCTCCAAACATCTGTTCAATTGAAGGGATGAAAAAAAACTGTCCAAAATGTCAATGTAAACTTGTGCATTGATAGAAGAATGAACCACAGTTATCTCCCCAGTGCCTTTGCCTGACATGCAGCCCCATGTCATCCAGGACTGTGGAAATTTGGTTGTTTTCTTCAGGCAGTCCTCTTCATTAATCTCACTGGAACGGCACCAAACAACAGTTCCAGCATCATCACCTTGTCCAGTGCAGATTCTTGACTCATCACTGAAGATCACTTTCATCCAGTCATCCACAGTCCATGATAGCCTCTCCTTAGCCCATTGCAGTCTTGTTCTTTCTTGTGTAGGTGGCAATGATGGTTTTCTTTTAGCTTTCCTGTATTGAAATCCCATTTCATTTAGGTGATTTCTTACGGTTCAGTCACATACATTGGCTCCAGCTTCCTCCCATTTATGCTTCATCTGTTAAGTTTTACTTTTTTGGTTTTCAAGACAAATGGCCTTAAGTTGTTTGTCTTGACTCTTTGATGTCTTTCTTGGTCTACCAGTACGCTTGGCTTTAACAACCATTCCATGCTGTTTGTATTTGGTCCATATCTTGGAAACAGCTGACTGAACAGCCCACATCTTTAGCAACCATGCGTGAAGAGTTACTTTCTTCAAGAAGTTTCACAATCATCTCTTTTGTTTCAAGAGACATTTCTCTTGTTGGAGCCATGGTTCTTGTCACTCCACTTCGTCCAGCAGCCCTCCAAGGTGTCATGATTGCAGGTGTTTTTAACTGCAGACTAACAAGCAGATCTAATCTGAGGCAGGTGTCCATTTAGGGAAAGGAAATTGACTGGGTGTGTCCTTATTTTCTACCTCCAATTTGAGTGATTCCATACTTTTTCCTCAGAATTGAGTGATTCCATATTTTTTCTCTGTGCTTGGTCAATAAAAGTAACATTCACTGACTTCCACAATGTTTTCACTTCATTTTTTTGAGTGTGCCTGAAAGCCAACAAGTTGCACTTTGGAATGACCTTATTATTGCATCATGTTTTTGATCTGAGTTTGTTTTACAGAATGAAATGTCTGAATGAGTGCTCATCCAAGACTGGTGATTCCATACTTTTTGCCAGGGGTTGTAACTATAGCAGCCACTGTCTGGTTATCAAAATAAACTGCAATGAAAAAGAGTTCTTAGGACAGGTAGAAAATAAAAGCATGGTTCTATTTTGACCAAAGAGGTATCAGAACCTCAGAAAACTATCTTATAAAAATGACGTGTTTCATTTAAAGTGAACAAAGTGATAACTTTAAGTATGAGTATAATTGTGTGAATGATTACCAAGAATTCACACTATTGAGATGATTTTCGTAAATCTCGTTCTGCAATTTTTGAGTTATTTCAACAATTTATTTATCAAAACATTCAACTCCATCCCAACAGGCTGGCTATGACTTTTGGTATTTCAACAATTTATACTTTTTGAGTTATTTAGATTTGTTGGTCATTTTTTTTCTTTATTAAACATTAATGGAACTATCTTAAATATCTTTAAAACCATTCAAAATGTTCATAAGTCTTTGCTTTATCTTTACTCTTTTAAACTCCCTTGTACTAATTTTGGCTTCCTCCAGCTTCTATTTAGCTGATTTTAGCTTTTTTCTTTTTTAAGCCATCTTTCAGCATCAAGCATTCACATCTTCACAGGAAATGTGTTTCTAGTTTGAAAAACACTAAATTCTTTTGGTTTTCTTAAGGAAATGATGGCAGATTGTAAAAAAAGTGCCTCAGAACACTTCAGTATTGCAGTCAGTTCAGTCAGTGATGATGTCCTTGTGAAAGATGTTTAGTTGCACAACTGATTGTGGTTCAGCTTGCACCACTAACCAACAGCATGTTTCTATCGGCACATGTAGTAACCCTTCATTTATTAAAATCCATTTTTTCACTGCTAAAATGAAAAGAGAGGTCTAAACAGGAGCAAGATATGACGTAACCGACACATCTGTGCAGGTATTTACATGTTTGAATTATCAAAACAGTTGTCTCCTCCACGTTATCGGCCCTGCTGTCTTTATGAGCAGGGCAGGTGTCAGGTGACAYGGTGAGCAGAAACAACTTCTGTGCTTCAACACACCCAGCTGAACAGGACCGGACAAGCTGGCTAACTAAAGCCCAAACCACACCCGACTCAGTTTATTTCAGTGCTTCTAAAATAGCTMAACAAAAGCCATGTACTCAGTAACACCTCGTGTTCAAGTAAAACAATAGTTTTTTGGTAGAAAGGCTGTAGTCTGCAGGCTCTGGGTGTTATCAGGGAGATCCAGGCGCATGCAGACCACTTTCACAAAAAGGGGCTGTTGGTAAACAATCAATCCATGTCAAATGCTGTAAAATAATACTTTAATTTTACTGTTTGACTAACAATAATGTCATTTGTTAGTCTTTTATTGGCATGAGKGATGACAGTTTTTTATGTCTTTTGTATTTTGGATTCCCCTCCGTGTTTACATCATCTTGCTYYCTGATTGCCTACACGTCTCATTCAASAGGCTGCAAATCGTTTGTTCTYGGGTGAACCCCACACAGGCTGYGAWATCGGGCCAAAAAATCGAACGTGTTTAATATTCCCGATTTGAGGTCGGAGCGGTCCCGACGTCCTTCCGAGCTGACTGGATCACTCAACACACCACCCATGGCAGGAATATCTGATTATCTTTAGAGCCATCACACTAATCTGAGCATGATTGTCAGAAGGGCAAAATTCGGCATGATTATCCTCCCATGTGAACCCGGCAGGTCACAGATTTACTATTTATTTATTATTTWTCCAAAAATCATTAGATCGTAGATGTCTTTTGCAAGGACAACCTGGGCTTGAAGGTAACCTATATTTTACATAGCTTTATGTCATTTATTAGTGTCATATCACAGACTGAAATTGTGATTTGTTTGTCTTATAACTTTCATATCAGCCCTCAGCTCATTGGGCGTTTATACTTGAGCGATGTAATAAACTTTATCGGTGACCAACTGAGGGGACCAGGCCCTCTCCATGGCTACTGATGCACAAGAGGAAAACCACAACTCGTTGTCTTCAGAAAACCATCAGGAAATTAACTCATTATCTTGAGAAAACGGTCATTGCTATTCAGTGATAATGACACAATATGTTGAGAAAACCATGGAAGGAAATTATAACGTGGGAAACGTCCACTCTCGGCTTCCGTACCATATATCTGGATATTTTTTCTGAACAAGCCAGCAAGAAAACAAGCCAATGTGAAATAGAAATAAAACAGTTTGGTTTTTCAAATGTAAGGAGTAGAAATAAAAAGTTTGCTGAAAAATAAAAAGTCAAGTAAAACATAGATAACCAAAATGTCTAACAAAGTACTTTACTTGACGCCTCTGTATAGGACCACCAAGTGGAAAGACTCTGAAACTGCTTTGACTACAGCTTGGTTAACGCAGATCACTTCAATGTGAATCTCTCACTGAAGTGATTAGTTGATTAGTTAGTCACGCTACACAACCTGACGATGAATTCAGATTACTTAGAGGTTTTATTTTTACAATTTCACTTACAAATAAACAAAACACTTTACAGGTGGAACAAAAACCAAATGGAACAAAAACATAAAATGTGAAAATGAACTGCAAGGTAAACAAAAAGTTAACATGTATCCTTGGACCTGTGAGTCCTGATTCAGTGCAAATATTCAGATCATTAACCTGGTGAGTCTGTAGCTGTGTTTCCATTGCAAATCTGCGCAACTTTGTCAATATTCTGTTAATGTCGAAAACCACAGTTTCGCAATTGCAGTGTTTCCATTAAGTAAGAAATGCTACTAAAGTCACACGTGAATACGTAAGTCATTACAAACATGGCGGCAATGGATGTAAACGCATGCATAATTGCTACCATGGTACTAGCGCTAATCATCAGAGGAGACATCGGCGTCTTGTCGAGGCTTTCGAGTGACAAGCCCCTTATACTGGGAGCGGCTACGTATGCTGCGTTTTTGGGAAAATGTAGCCCGTGAGTTTAATACTTTCTTTTACTACTTCAGCGATTTCCCTACTACTTTAACTTCTTGTTATCTTTTTCGTCATCTTCTTTTTCGCCAGTAGAAACAGCCGGTTCTTGATCACTTGACTCCTGTGATGCAAAAAAAAGTGTTTCCATTGCAGTTTTGCGAAATGCATCAATTTTGATACGGCCGAAAAAAGCACCACACCCTAGTGCAAAATTATTTTGTCGAAAAACGTAATTTTTTTCGAAATTGGCGCGTTTCCATTGAGCAAATTTACTTTCGAAATTCTAATTTGCGCATTTTCATGGTTAATGGAAACGCAGCTGGTAACCCACAAGCTGCAGCAGAGTTGAGCCCATGGCCCCCAGCTGCCCTGTGCACGCCCCTGGAGGTACAGCTGCGTGGATGTGGCATTTGACAGGCAGGAAGAGTCGCTGAAGACGGCTGAACTCCACCCACACCTCGTCAGGTGTCACTTCCAGTGAAGTTTCAACTACCAGACGGTGGAAGACGATTCTCACAGCCGAACCTAACTGGGTTTTCTGCCCAGTTTCCTGGACCCAGCGCGTCCGAGCCGCTGAGAAAAGTTTCTGGAGTTGTCTGCGTCTGTGGGAGGTGTAGGGAGGAGGAGGGAAAGATCTGGGAGCTCCACGGCGGATCGGAGCTCGGCTCGCTTTGGGTTCGGGGCTCTGAGCTCTGAGCTCCGGGATGGCGGCCGTGAAGGCTCTGCAGCAGTGGTGCCGGATCCAGTGTGAGGGCTACCGGGATGTTTCCGTCACGAACATGACCACGTCCTTCAGGGACGGCTTGGCTTTCTGCGCCCTCATCCACAAACACAGACCCGACCTGATGTAAGTAAAAACAGCTGGACCAGAACCACAGAGCCAGTTGTAAGAACTAACTCWGACATTATCTGCACTGTAGGTTTAAACAATTAGAATCAACAGGTCAAAACTTYATTTATGAATCTTAGAAATCAGGAAAAGCCTCAGCTCTGGACTCTGGGGGTCCATTGAAACCAGCTAACCCATAATGCAAAAGTATCAGTTTTTTAGTGGAGTTGATGAGGATTAGAACGTTGATTTCATTCAACCAGGAAAAATATCTGATAAATTTGATCAAACAATAAGTTCTCCCTGTGATATGGGAACTTGGGAAGATTTAAACACTGTCATTTTAGTTTGATAAAACTTCAACTTAATAATTATTGCTAAACATGCCAATTTATCCAGTTATTGGTTTCTGTAAACAGTTTGTTCTCCTGTTTTTCTATTTTATGAAATGTAGCATTTGGCCTACAGTTGAGATTCCATTTTCTTATGATGCTTCTGACAGCTTGTGCAGGAATAGTGTTTTTAAGCCTTTCAAGGAAGCATTTGCTGTAGATTTAACTAAGAAATGGGAAAAACGTGTTCTTGTGTCAAACTGCTTATCATAAGTTCTCAAAGATCTGATATAAAATGAGTTTTTTTTGCTTCCTTCATGCCTTGAGTTARGCTCTGCTAAAGCTGAATCAGATTAAATGAGTGAGAAAAAAAAAGGTTAGGCAAACCTCAGTAAAAATGAAGAAAACGGATCTGGTTTAATGCTTCTGAACATCATCCTTTTCTCCCCGAAGATTGAAATGAAATCATTAGTCTTGCATGATTTAAAAAGCCACCCATCAAATCTCAGACCTTTTTCAATAATAAATAAACAAATAAATAATAAAGGGATATAATATCTATTCTATCTGTACATTTTACACTAAAGAGGTCTGCTTATGACTCGTCGCCAATCAGTTCTCCAGATATTTCAGTCCCTAAAGTCGTCAACAGAACCTTTTGACACTTCCACACTTTTCCTGGTTTTGTTTCAGAGAAGTTAAAAGGAATAAATCTGTAGCCATACACTTCCTTTACACTGAAACCATAAACACAGCTGAAAGATTATAGAGTTGTCACCCTGTGATTAATGCAGCCTGAGTTTTGTGTTGGTTTCAGTTTTCGAGCAGCTGATCTGTCTCACTTGTTGGTGTCATGTCATGTTGTTGACGTATGACTAAACAGCACAAGAAGGTATTAGCTCGATCACATGTTTTGTTATTCATACATCTATATATATATATTTTGTTTTACAGTGATTTCAATTCTCTGAAGAAGGAAGATGTCTATGAAAACAACAAACTGGTAGGACATGTTTTATTTATGTCCATTATTGTTTAAAGCTCAAGCATTTCCTCTTCTCTAAACTCACATGGATCTCAGTTAGAACAGCTGTGGGAAAAGTGGATGGTTGCAGTTGCAAAGGATTATGGGATGAAATGATCTCTATYTATTAGGTAGTTGTTTCTTTTATGCTTACGAAGAAAATAAAGGAGACATTACAGATCCAAGTCAACAATTTAGAAAATTCAAACAGACGTTACTATTTTGACTTTCTTTACTTTTTTGCTGTTATTTTACCCAGAAAAATAAATACTCTAGTATTAAATAATTATAGGAAATTAAGTAAAAAAAGTTTTTTTTAAATTATCATGTTTGTCCTGTTTATCAATAACTATCATTTCATGTTTTTCTGTGCATTCATTGATCTCCTATAATT